GAAGGCCTCAGGGAGCTTTTTACTCATTGCAGAAGGTTAAGTGGGAGATGGCATGTAACATGGCAAAAGCAAAAGCAAGTGAGAGAAAGTGGGGAGGGGAGAGGTGCCACACGTTAGACCAACCAGGTCTTGTGAGAACACATTCCCTATCACAAAGACAGCACCAAGCCATGAAGGAACAGCTCCCAAGACCCAAACACCTCCCACCAGGCCCCACCTCCAACACTGGGGATTACAATTCAACATGAGATTTGAGCAGGGACAAATATCCAAATTATATTGGTCCCTTATAATCCTTTTATATTTCTGATGCATCTGTTGTATGCCTCCACTTTTATTTCTGATTTGATTTATTATTTGAGTCTTCTCTTATTTCATAGTTAGTCTAGCTAGGGCTTTGTCAATTGTGTTTTGTTTTTCAAATAACCAACTCTTGGTTTGATTAATTTTTTCTGTTTTGTATTCCTAATTTATTTTTATTCTGATCTTTAGCAAAAATAAATTAATGGGAGTACATAAAACTAAAAAGATTCTATACTGCAAAGGAAACAACTAACAAATGAGAAGACAACCTACAGACTGGGAAAATATATTTGCAAACCACATATCTAATAAGTGGTTAATATCCAAAATTCATAAAAACTCTTACAACTTAACAGCAAGAAACCAAATAACCCAGTTTTTAAAATGGACAGAGTACCTGAACAGATCTCTCTCCAAAGATGACATAAAAATGGACAACAGATACATGAAAAGGTGCTTCATGTCACTAATCATCAGGAAAATGCAAATTAAAACCTATGAAATATCACCTCACATCCCTAAAAATGTTTATTATTGCAAAGAAGAAATAACAAGCACTGGTGTGGGTGTGGAGAAAAGAGAACCCTAATATACTGCTGGGGGTACGGGAGACTGGTACAGCCCCTATGGAAAACAATATAGAGATTCCTGAAGAAATTAAAAATATAACTACCATACGACCCAGCAATTCCTCTTCGGGGTACATACCCAAAAGAGAAGAAAGTACCACCTCATAAAGATATCTCCCATGTTCATATCAACATTGTTCACAACAGCGAAGATATGGAAACAATCTAAATGTGTATCAATGGAGAAGTGGATTAAAAAAAAAAAAAACTGTGGCATACATATACAATGGGATATTATTCAGCCTTATAAAAGGAGACCCTGTCATTTGCCACAACATGGATAGGCCTCGAGGACATTATGCCAAGTGAAAAAAAGCCAGACATAAGAAGAAAAATATTGCATGACCTCACTTATATATGAATTATTAAAAAAAAAAAAAGAGCTCAAGTACACAGAGATAAAGAATGAAACAATGGTTACCTCAGGTCGGGTGGGTAGGGGAGAGGAAATGAGGGAATGCAGGTCAAAGGATACAAAACAGTAGATAGATAGGAAGGACAAGTCTAGAGATCTAATGTACAATATGAGGACAAAAATTAATAAAATTGTACTGGAAATTTTTGTTAAATAAGTAAATTTTAGGCTGGGCATGGTGGCTCACATCTGTAATCCCAGGACTTTGGGAGGCTGAGACAGGTGGATCACCTGAGGTCAGGAGTTTGAGACCAGCCTGACTAACATGGAGAAACCCCATCTCTACTAAAAGTACAAAATTAGCCAGGTGTGGTGGTACATGCCTGTAATCCCAGCTAATCAGGAGGCTGAGGCAGAAGAATCGCTTGAACCTGGGAGGCAGAGGTTGCAGTGACCCACGATCATGCCATTGCACTCCAGCCTGAGCAATAAAAGCAAAACTCCATCTCAAAAAAATAAAAGTAGATTTTAGCTGTTCTTGTCACAAAAAAGTAACTATGTGAGGTCATTGATATGTTAATCTGCTTCATGACAATAACCATTTTATTATCTATATGTATCCCAAAACATGTTGTAAACCTCAAATATACACAATAAAATTTTAAAATCAAAAAATAAAATATTTTTTAAAAGAATAAAGGAAAACATTTGAAATAGTCATTTAGGGAGGAAAATCAAACCATGGTAAGATGATTCGGCAGTGCTGAGTGACATTCTGAATCAAGATTATCAACTTAAATGAGAGACTTGTTGGTATATTTGGATGCTTTTCTCCATAAATATTGTCGTTTGGGTACAGCCATGGAGTAGGTATGACTGAGTTTAATCATTAGGTCTTTGCCAAACAACGGAAAAGGGGTGGAAAGAGTCTAAGTTATTTGGAAGATAATGGTTATGATGACAGGCCATGAAATTTAACTGGGAGGTGGGAGTGAGTACATGAGATTACAAAGGAAGTGAGTAATTATTATCATGGGGGTAGCGTCGAAGGAATGAAGGGCACCACGAAGTGGAAGACTAGCTGGTAAGTACGGTGGGAGTGCACAGAGGGGGTGGTTAGAGAGGAGGAGGCTTGAAATCAATTTTAGAGGTCACGTAGTCATTGGCACTGAAGAGGTCAATTGAAATGATCATGGGAATGGGCAACTCAGGTAGGGTAAAAGAAATGATGGCTGAATATGAGGCAGTTCAAAACCAGAGACAGCAAGATATGGACGTCAACAATGATAACAGAGTATGAGGTGGAAGAGAGTCCGCTAGTCACTGAAGTAATCAATGTGTAAAGGAAATAACCAGGGTTTGGTGATGTCAGCAGAAGAAAACACTTGGATTTCCGTGGGTGACTGAGGTGACTAGGGATGTCAGGCATGCTGGAATCTGTCCTGATAATCTCATGACAGAAGGTGGGAAACCTATTCAAGCTGGATGATGTGGACCCTAGGGCTGCTGGTTTCTCCAGCATCTGGTGTTGTAAGATCAGCATCTGAATCCAAACTTTATCACGCTAATTGTGTGAGCTTGGGGAAAGACTACTGAAAATCTACTTATTCTTATCTGTAAAATGAAAACAAATGTTCAATGAATTGCCAAGTTCCCAAGGAGCACTTGAAATAATGAATGCAAAAGCATTTTGCAAGCTCTAAAGTGCAACAGAAATGTTAGTTAAAATTAAAAATTTATGTCTCGCATTATCATTGATAGCCTTTAAGCCAGAGCCAGAAGAATTACCTGCTCATCTCTTTATATGCCACAATACATACACCATATTCTATGATTCAGAGATTACAAGGTTGAATAACACTGAACAAAAAAGCTTATAAAATGAATGAAAGAGTCTGTGACTACTGTCTCCAATGTTATTATCAACATTACTATAATTACTGTTAAGGATTAAGGCTTTAAAAATTGTGAAAAACTACACATCCTGGTTTTTCTTTTTACCAAATCCATTGAAATGAAGAAAAAAAATTATTCAAAGTTAAAGCCACACAAATATTTATACTCTCTGACCTAATCTCATTCCCAGAACATTTTTATCATTTAATCAAGCACAACATATATTTACTCTTTTCTCCGTTCTTCAGAGAAAAGTGAAGACCATAAGTGCACATATAATTTTTAGAGGGAACACATATATGTAATTAGCCCAACTTCTAAAAATCTGTTGTCAGAAAATATTCCCTAAAATGAAATATTCCTCTAAAATATTCCCTAAAATGAAAAGGCCTAGTATCTAAAGATGAGATATTCACACTATATAATCATGAAAAGGAGTGAAAAAAATCTAATTTTTTGGTAAACGGATAATGGAGTAAATATTGGCACATAAATTCAGTGGAACAATATGGAGCCATTAAAAAAATGACAGCTATGAAGAACCGCAAAACAAAATCCACCAACTTGAACGCCCTTGAGTTAAGCAGGTAGAAGAACTATGAGAAGCAAAACAAAATCCACCAACTTGAACGCCCTTGAGTTAAGCAGGTAGAACTATGAGAAGCAGCCTGGTGTAAGATGATACAAGATAGGGGAGGTTGGTCAAAGACAGTCAGAAAATGCAGAGTAAAGAGTGCTTGCAGGCCCCACATAAAGACATTCACATTAAAACATTTAAAAATAATAAAACAAAGGAACATAGTATTGACAAGCAAAGCATGTTATGAGCCAAATTTTGCCCATAGGTCTTTAGTTTGTGACCCTTTCTGGAGATAGAGGAAAGCAGTCAATGGTGAGATACACATAATAGATATGGCAGTATGATTATAACGTAAAGATTGTATTGACATATGGACAAAAACTGGAAGTATGTTAAAAATGAATGCTGGCCTTGGTCGAAACTTGGCCAAATGACTTTACCCCTTTAAGCGTCAGTGTCTTCATCTGTGAAATAGGGATTTAAAAAATTGCCTCCTTTGTGAAGCTGTTGTAAAGATTAAGTGTGATTGTAAGGGCAAAGTGGGTAGAACGGAGCCTGGCAAGTGGCAAATAAAATTCTTCTCCCCCTCATTTTCCTCCTCCTCCTATTATTTTGTTATTATTAACTATTTCTGGATTTCATATCCCACCATCCTGTTCCCCTTGTTCTACTAATTCCAACCACAATAGCTTTCTTGTTATTTTTTCAGTTTGTTTTAGCCTTAGGGCCCAAATTCTCCTGCCCCTAGTATTTGTCTTACTTTCTGAGAGCTCTTGCTCAAATGATAATTCCTCAGAAGGATTTTCCTGCCTGCCTCACCCTGCCTTTTCTTCAGTGCACTTAGAACCATCTGATATTTTATCGTGTGTGTACGTGTGTGTGTGTGTATATATATAAAGGTTTATATGAACACGTGTTTATATATGTGTATTTTACATACACACACACACACACACACACACACACACACACGCACACAAAGGCAGGACTTTGCCTTAACTTGTTTACTGCTCTATTAACAGTTCCTTGAAGGGTATCTGGCACATAATAGATGTTGAAGCATTATTTGTTGAATATTGTTAAATGTTTAGGGTGGAGACATTGTGTCTTATTTTTTCCCCTTTTTTTCTAAATCCTAGAATGACAATGTTATTTGTAAAATCAATGATTTGAAAGCACATTTTCTTGCAAGTGATCTTAAAGTGTACTTCATAATCTTTTGTAACTTTTTTGGTAGGTCAGCCATGCAGAAGCTGGGGGCAGAAGTATTTGAAGAGGTCTATAATTACCTCAAGAGAGCAAGGCATCAGAATGCTAGTGAAGCAGAGATCCGGGAGTGTTTGGAAAAAGTGGTGCCTCGAGCCAGCGACTGCTTTGAAGTGGACCAGCTCCTCTACTTTGAAGAGCAGTTGCTGATCACGATGGGAAAAAAACCTACTCTCCAGAACCATCTCTAGGCAACTGTCAAAAAGAAGCAGAAGTTCAAGTGGACAAATTTCTGGGAAAATGCATTTAACATACAAGCTGAACTCTGTTATGGGAAATGGATACAAAAGCAGAGCTCACATCTTGACTTTTAATTTCTCATCAGAAGTCTTCTTTAGAGAGCAGTAAGCATAGCAGCCTATACTTGGAGTCCTAAGTGTTACTTGGACTATACCCTGAGATAAGCTTAAACATCAAGTTTGGTTCCCTGAAAAGCATTTCTCTCATGCGCACCCTCAGGGCTTCCAGCAGGATTGAGTCACTCTGATGATGACTGGGGAGAAGCCATGTGCTCTTTATCATTTTTAGCTGGAGTCCCCAGCTCAGTGCCTGACTGCCTAGGGTCTCATGGACTGTGGGCAGCCTGCCAGTAAAGGTCACTGGACCCTAGCCTACAACATGCTGAGCTGCAGCCCAGAAGCCAGACATGCCTGTCTTAGCTGACTTGTTTTTGGTCCACTTTTGCCCTCCTGAGACTAACAAGCAAGATATCTATTTCATACACACATAAGGACTTGTATTAAAATCCAAAAAGTGATTCTCTTCCATGATTTATTTCAAACTCATCCATAGATAATTGAAGATTTGTATTCAAACTAAACATAGTTTTCACAGTTACAAAATAAATCATCTATTTTATCTTTTCCTTATGTAAAACTTTTGTATTAAATGTAACATATCCATCTTTTGATAATTATTACTAAGAGCTGGTAATATTTGGTTCATTTGGTGCCTGTTATGTGCCAGTACAGTGCTTAGTAGTTTAAGGGCCGTCATTGGATCTTTTCACCAACTCAAGAGAGAGAGAGGGAGAGTAAAAGATAGAGAAAAAGATAGAGAAAGAGAGAGATGCTCAGGTTGGGTAATTTTCTTAGTCACTTGGCTGCAAGAAGCAGAGTTGGCATTTCAACCCAGGTCTGTCTCATTCCACAATCCATAATCTTAACCACTGTCTATCAGAATTTTCATTAGATTTGCTCATGAAGCTTTTTAAACATAGACATGTTTAAAAATACTGTTTATGAAAAAATTATTCTGACACTTACTGAATGGCAAAAAGACTGTAATCAGGACTATTTTGATAGGTATCAACAATATTGCAATATGGGGGAGGCACTGGGCTTGACTCTGAAGTTTCTTAGCTAAAGCAAAGAAAACTAGAGATTAATAGCCAAGGACAAGGATGGGAGCTTAGTGGATGGAAAATTTCTAAGAGAAGTATTTAGTGGTTGGGGGTTGTCTTCATCTGTTTAGTGTTGCTATAAGAGAATACCAGAGACTGAGTAATTTATAAAGACAGTAAGCTCATTTAGCTCACGTTTTTGTAGGCCGAGAAGTTCAAGAGTATGGCCCCGGCTTCTGGCAAAAGCAGTCATGCTCCATCACAACACGGCAATGAAGGAGAGTGGACAAGTACGAAGATGGGAAACCTGAGGGCTGTCCTGGCATTATAACACCTGCTCTTCGGGGAAATAACCCATTCCCACAAGAAATAATCCAGCCTAGATAGCAGGAACTCACTCACTACTCCAGAACAGTACCAAGCTATTTATGAGGGTCCTCCCCTATAACCCGAACACTTTCCACGAGCTCCCTCCTCCCAACATCACCACACTGGGGATCAAATTTCAACATAAGTTTTGGAGGGGTCAAATATTCAAACCATAGCAGGGAGAGTCCTGCTAAACTGACTTAAGATTCCCGCTGAAGACAGACCAGGGTGATCAGAGATTGAGGGTAGGTGATGAAGAATTTGATCAGATACTGAGGGTGATCAGCTATCAAATGTGAGGGATTCTCACTAAACTGACCTTACCAGAATTCTTGCTAAAAATGGATTTGGCAGGCTGAAGACAGACCCAAGAATGAGGCCTCATTAAAAAAAAAAAGAGGGCTCAAAAGAACCTGTCTGAAGTTTGGTCAAGGAGATCGTCTTTGTCAGTGCCTAGACCCACCCCACTCCCTTCTCTGGAACAATAAGGGGCTGCAACATATCTATTGTTTCAAAAGTATCGGGGTGAATTTGACGCCCACAGTACTGCTATTCACTATTCTGCCTCCTGCTGATGACTGAGGAAACTTAGAGAGGTTCTTTATCTCACTGACCTGTTATCAGCAGTGCTGTGCTCCCGGCATGATGCACTTTTTTAGACCACTGAGTCTCACATTTGAGCATGCATTAGAATCACCTGGAGTGCTTGTTGAAGCACAGATTGGTGGATTCCATCACCAGCATTTCTGATTCAAGAGGTCAGGGTGGAGCCTCAGAATGTGCATTTCTGACACATTTCCAGGTGGTGTCAGTGCCACTGGCACCGCATAGAACCACTGTTCAAGACCTTTCTGTTGTCTCTTGTCTCCCTTTTCTTGGAACAGTGGTTTGGCTGCTCTTAGTTGGGGCTTAATTCATCTGACATCTTAGAAGGAGGTATGAGGACTTCAAAGAAGGGTCCAAAGACTTCAAATGCTTCACAGTGAATATAAACAAGTAGTGATTGGGCTGGAGTGATAGGGGAGTCAGTGTGAAAAACTTTAGAGAGCTTAATGGGCTTATTTTAAGGACAGAGGGCATGGCCACTGTGCCCTAATGCTCTAACCTGTGGCTTCACTTCTATCTCTGCCCAGCAACCAAAGGAACCACCCAGGTGAACCCACAATTTTTCTAGTGCTCAAGGGTTATGAACATCACTCTTCTGAGATCCCACAACTCCCTTACACTATGGAGAGATATTGGGGGCTGCACAGATCTTCACTCTGCCTCTTCCCAAAGCTAACCATGCCCATTCTCACCCTCCCTCCCTGAATACTGGAGAATCATTGCTGGCTGGGAGGCTGGGGGACAGGAGCATGTCTGTGCTCTCACAGCTCCTGTGTCTGCAACAGGAAAAGCAGACTTCAAATACTGGCTTCTCAGAATTTGGAACTTCAACGTGTTTTCCAAGTCAAAATCTAGGACCCATGATTGTTGCCATGGTAGAACACTGAAAATCAGGTTTGCTCTGGGAAACCTAGGATGATGGGGGCGTGTGACCACACTGCTGCTGAGAGTCGGCATGCAAATTGCCATCACATTGACAGGGAAGAGACCTCACCCCAGAAAATGCACCCCAGAGCCCACATGCCCTTATATGACTGGAAAAGCGGGGACCATAATACTGCCCAAGTTAATAAAAGTTGCTGAATCTTATTGTTGATGGTCTGGCTAATTTTTGTATTTTTAGTAGAGATGGGTTTTCACCATGCTGGCCAGGCTGCTCTCACACTCCAGATCTTATGAACCGCCTGCCTTGGCCTCCCAAAGTGCTGGAATTACAGGTGTGAGCCACTGCGCCTGGCCTTGTTGATGGTTTTTATAACACGAAAACAGAACAAAACTTGTGTGCGGGGTCCAAAGAGGAAATAGCTAGGTTTTCAAATAGTCTCTTTCACAAACAGATTCACATTTCCATACCTTTGCATTTCAGAACATGGTTCTTAGAAGACAGGTGCAGACTAAAAACAGCTTAATCTCCAGGGATTTGTGTTATTCACTCATCAGGTGTAAAAGAAAAAAGGGCTAGGAATAAATATCATTTTGAATCATAGCTCCATGCCTCTAAAGAGAAGCTCACTCAGGTTTACTTTCATTTTGTTAACTGGGGTGGAAGTGGGGAACAAGATTTAACATTACTTGAAGAAAATATCTTTTACTTATCACCATTGAGAAAGTGCTTTCTTCTTCAGCTGTACTCAGTCTCAGTTTTGAACAACTTCAGTGGGGGTATTAATAACTATCCAACTGCAAGATGGTGGGGGAAATGGGCTAAGGAGTTAAATTAGGAAGTTTTTTTGTTATAAAACAGTCATGAGGATGAGCAAATAAAGGGACCCTGCTAGGCTGCTGTTTTATAAAATATATATACATATATATTTCAAAAATGCCAACTGACCTTTCTGCTTTCTATTTATGCAGAGGAAATGCCACCAGCTATTTTGGGTGATGCAGAGATAAAGCACACAAAGGAGAGTGATGAAAGTTAATTATTTAATGTATTTGGGGCCGAAGCTGGAGCAAAGTTCTAGGTATAGTTTAAGAGTCCAGTCATCACAGTGGGATCAGGGTAAAGGAGGCTGACAAATTAAGCAGTAGCTCAACAGGGGGAAATACACCATATTCCTCTTTCAAGATGATGGGTTCACTAGCTAATGTATCAGAAGGGAATGAGGCTAGGCCACTAAGGTGATAAAAGAGCAGAAACAGTAAAGAGAAGAAGGGGTGGGGTTAGGGGAAGGAGAGAGGCACAGGAGGACACAGAGCAAAAAAAAAAAAAATGTTTTAAAGTACTTCTGCCACAGCAACGTAAGGAAAAAAATTAAACTTGATAGCAGATGCCTTGGATTCCAGGCCTATTATTACCATTTACTGTGTGATCTAAGGTAAGCAAGTGATTTCCTCTGAATCCGTTTCCTGTCTGTGTCTGAAGATTGCTATAAAGAATAAATAATACAATACATTGAAGAACAGGAAATTGCCAGTGTGATTCGGTATAATGTGTAGAAGTGCTTTAAATGTCATAAAATGTTCTCAACTTTGAGGAAAAAAAAATCATTAGATGTACTGTCCAAGCTGCCTCATCTTCCAACATTGGAGATTCATCCCTGAAGACTTCCTTAGGTTTCTAAGATTCTACTATTACCATCCAAATGCACCCTGAAAGACAAATACTTTTAGCCATTTTCAGCTAGCACTTGACAAGAAATTAGCTGAGAGCCAGCTAAGAGCTAACAGAAACATGAGGAAGACATCTCTGGAAGGGCAAGTCAGTGGACCCTCTACACTAGCCTTGCTTTCTTTCAGTGACTTAACCCACTTCACAGTTCATGAATCTGCAACATCACGGTGTTTGTCATCACCAGAAACCTCAGGATGCTCAAGTTTTCCCGAACTTCAGAACAAAGTTCAGAAATTTGGTTTAACCAATATACATTATAAAATAATACATTCACAAATATTCACTAGGAGTACCATAGTCATTAACATTTATACAGAATTGAAAACTTGACTCCAATAGGAATATTTTCTTTTTTTTTTTCCCATTTATTTTATTGCATTTTAGGATTTGGGGTACATGTGAAGAACATGCAAAATTGTTGCATAGTAACACACGTGGCAGTGTGATTTGCTGCCTTCCTCCCCATCACCTACATCTGGCATTTCTCCCCTTGCTATCTCTCCCCAGCTTCCCACCTCCCACCGTCCCTCCCCTATTTCCCCCCAACTGACATGGAGTCTCGCTCTATCACCCAGGCTGGAGTGCAGTGGCGCAGTCATGGCTCACTGCAACCTCTGCCTCCCGGATTTAAACGATTCTCCTGCCTCAGCCTCCAGAATAGCTGGCATTACAGGTAAATGGCACCACACCTGGCTAAATTTTTTTTGTATTTTTAGTAGAGACAGGGTTTCACCATGTTGGCCAGGCTGGTCTTGAACTCCTGACCTCAGGTGATCCACCTGCCTCAGCTTCCCAAAGTGCTGGGATTACAGGCGTGAGCTACTGCTCCTGGCTCCAGTAGGAATATTTTCAAAGTAGATTTTTAGGTTGAGTTCAGGAGACAATCTTTCAACAGCTAGAAACGTTCTTTTTTCTTCCCAAAATATTCTGGCTTTTTCCCACTTCGACAGTTTGAATTTTGAGTCCCAATTTACCCCTCCCTATACCCCTGACTGCTGCCTCATAACTTTGTAGTTCTCAATATTTCCCCACTCTTTGACTCTGAGTTTAGCCATGGAACTAGTTTTGGCTGAGGAATATAATGAGGGGCTGGAAACATGGTGCAGTGGGATATGTTCTCTTTCATCTCCCTTATCACCATCCAGCCCATCTATCACAGGGGAATGACAGAGATGGAGCAGAGACACCTCAGCCAACCAACAGAGTAACACAAACTCACCTCAGCCACTGCAAAGCAAAGCAGAGCCAATCCAGGTGATATATAAACTCACGGGCAAGGGAGACCTATTTCTTGCTGTATGCTAGTCAGGATTTGTGGTTGGTTGTTATGTGGCATTATTATGTCAATAAGCTAAACAACATGTCCTCCTTCTCCTGACATCACTCTCTTTATTCATTCTCCAACATATTTTTACCAAATCCTTGGGCCTTTTTTTGGTGCTGATTTTTAAAAATCTGGAGGAAGTTTATCTCCAACTAAATTATTCTGTGGCTTCTTAGAAAAAATATGGATACCCTCTTGCAAAATGCCCTAGATGAGCCACAAGCTCTGA